GAATTGGCAGTACAAGGGACGTTGAATGTCGGACGATAGACTACCAGCCATGGTTGACGAGGCAGCTTGGGGAAAAGCGACTCCAGGGAAGAAGGGAATCAGATGGGACAAGGTGGTAGAGAAGGTTTGGAAGGAGATAGGAGACGAGGAGGAGACGTTGGACACGGAAGGGTTCGGGGGGTTCAAGACGAAAGTCAAGGAGATGCTAGAGAGTAGGGAGGAGGCAACCCTTCGGAAGAAGGTACGAAGCGAAGACCACTTGGAGATATACGGGAAGTTGAAAGAAGGGATAGGGATGAAGACGTACTTGGACGGCCCCATGGACTATGCGAAAAAGCTGAAATTGCAATTTCGAGTAGGCGATCTGGACTTGCCAGAACGGAGGAAGAGGTATACCAGCCGTAGGAGAGAGGAAGAGGAGGATAGACACACATGTCCATGTTGGCAAATCGGAGGAGAGTAGACCCCACATAGTTGGGGAGTGCGAGTTGTACAGGAAGGAAAGAGATGATCTCGAGGAGGAAATGAGACAGAGAGGGTGTGACATGGACAAGTTTGGTAAATTCGACAACAGCGAAAAAACGATCGCGATAATTGGGGATAGATGGTGGGCAAAAGAGGCCCTAGACGACGGGGATAAGATGTGCAAGAAATTTTTATGGAGTTTGTGGCAGAAACGTAAAGAGCTCCCAAATGTTGGTGGTGTCTCTAGTAGGTGTAGGAACGGTGCTCCGTCTCGAAAGGGACGCGTGGTCAATGGTCAAATGACTACGGCAAGCAACAAATGAGTACGCTCCCCCCCCCCCCCTCTCTCTCTCTTTCTCTCTGTTTATCTCCCTCCCTCCCTCCCTCTCTTACCCAGTGCACGGCGAAAGACCGCTTCCACCCCAGCTCCTTGTGGATAGTCACGGCTTCCTTCGGGGAGCAGTGCTGCTCCTTCATGAACCACGCCGGCTCGTGTGCCCCGATAGGAATAGCGGCTGCAACACGTTCGTTCACACACGTACACAAAAACATGCCTGGCCTTCAGAAAAGAGTCATCCGCTTTTAGACGTCCTGAGACTTGACGTCGTCGTTTCATTGGCTAGCCGGGTAGCGCGGTCAACGCCAACAAATACTTACAAGTAGAAATCACTTACACACTGACGAGAGAAATACCACCACAAAAAATGGAAACACAATATTCGGGCGGGGGTTTCGAGCAACGTTCTGGGTATCCTCGGGCATCCAAGTGATGAGAAGTGTTGCCCTGTGCCATCTTCAGGACAACGAAAAATTTGTGCGGGGGGTGGCCATTCGCGTCTTGCAGCTTGCGGACAAAACGCGCTGGTTCCGTGTCCCCCTCCCCCCGTGATCGAACGTTCACCACTGCCTTAAGAACGTCTTTCGAACGAACAAACATCCCTCCGAGTCTCGTCCCAGGCGAGTGATCCGAATCGGTCCTTCATTGACGTCAGCACTTCAATACACGCAAAAAACAAACGCTCGCATGTGTGTGTGCGTCAGCCACCCCCACTTACTCATCAATACAGACGTCGAGATTTACACCTTTTTCGGTACAGTACGTCTTCGAACGCACCAGCCACAGCAGTAGTCACCAAAGAAGGAAGGCCACGCAAGAGGAGCTTATCTATCTTTCTTTCTTTCTTTCTTTCTTTCTTCTCCCATACCTTGCTCCTGCGCTGACGGTCCGACAATTCCACCTCCGTGTTTACACACGCTGCATGTACATCCCGGTCGTGACACAAGATACCACACCCCCCGAACCGATTATCAAAAGACCGATTACTCCACGACGAAGAGGATGCACAAATCATACGTGACACGTTCTCGGAAAGCTCTCGACGAGACGGCTCTAACGCTGCTGTTTCCACCTTGGAGCAATCGAGCTTTGAAAATCCATCCGGGGGGGGGGGGGGGGTATCTTGTGTCACATACGGATGCTGTCACGCCAAGAAATCGACCCTTGGCACGGAGCGAAAAAAGCAACATGTGGGTTCTCCTTGCTCCCTCACCGAGGTCAAACGGGCCGTACCGCTCCCCGATCTGCCCGAAAACGGGGCAGTAAGCAGTGTCTCCGGCGAAGTAGAAGCGCTCTCGACTCCCGACAACGGCAAACCCGCACCATAAACTTTGAGTTGTTTTTCAAGCGGGACGGGCGGTGGGGAAAGAGAGGGGGAGGTGCGAGATAAGTCACTCAGAGTAAGTAAAAAGGTGTTACCAACAGCGATACCCTTTTCGTGTGTTTTCGGTTCTTTCTCCTGTCCTCGGGCGGAGAATGCTGCCACAGCGAGAGACGGCACAATCCGATCGACAACCCGATCGCTACTGGAAATCTATTTAATCTCTCTTTCTCTTTCTTTCTCTCGCTCTCTCCCTCTCTCTCTCCCTCTGTCGCTGTCTCTGTCTCTCTTTGTCTCTCTGTCTCTCTCTCTTTCTTCTCTCTTTCTCTTCCTTCTCTCTCTCTCTCTCACACACACACCTGGTGTTCCGGTCCCACACAACCCTGGTCGACCAGTGCTGCGCCGGGGTGCTCGCAAGTCGCACTGGACCGTCCCCACCCTCCACTTCCACCTCTTCCCACCAGGACAGCTCCACGCAGTTCTTGATACCCATCTTACCCATGAACCTATGCATACGGCCAACGGAGGCCACGCATAGTCCGTAGACAAAAACAAAAAAAACAGAGAGAGAGAGCACAGGGGGTTTAACAAAGGGTGTCGTTGTTGTTATTGTTGTTGGGGGTGGGGATGGGAGTGGGGGTGCTGGCGTGCTTGGGGCAGCCAATGTGTCCACGCCTGTCAGTGGTACTCGTGTCGACCGTGTGCGTTTGCCTACATGTACAATGACGGTGATGTTAGCGGCGTCTCTGGTGTAGACTCGGGGAGGCCGCCCCGTGATGGTCCGAGGCCGAAACAAAGTCAAGCCGACGCCCATGGCATTGACTGCGCCTCCGCTGCTCTCTTCCAAGTGCCACAGGAGACGCAAGATTACACCCCCCAACACCACCAGACCCACTGGTGATGTTATAAGGTTGCTGTCGTGCAAATGCGTGTGTTTTGGGGGCGTGGGATTATTGTACCGAAGGGGCGTCGTCTTCTCTCTCTCTATCTATCTCTCCCCGTTCTCTGTCTTCCCTCCCTCTCTCACACTTTTGAACAGGGACGAACCTCAACAAATCGCGCCCAAAACAAGCTTGAGATTGTAGCGCTTGCACACTCTAGTCTGTCTGTCTGTCTGTCTGTCTGCCTGTCTCTGACTGTCTGTGTGTGTGTCTCTTTCTCCCTCCTCTTTCTCCCCTCCTCTGCCCCCCCCCCCCCCCCC